AATCTTACTAAACACTACTTGCATGTGTATAGGACAACAAAACACACACGCACATTTGTTGGTTTATGTTGCATAATGCAACAAGCAACCAATCACACCCTTACAGACTATATCAACCAAGTTGTACTCCCAATGAACATCATATCACTTTTTCTAAAGCACTAATGTTGTATAAATATAAGTATGAAATAATAAGTTATGTAGTGTATTTGTATTTTAACATTATTTTGCTATGAATGACAAGTCAGTTCATTGCATATGTTGTATTTATGATAATGTATCTAAAGCTTGTACATGGTTTTCTAATCTTGATCTCTAGGATATCAAGACTGAGCTATATCTATATGAAGATATATCATTCTCTCTCTATCTCTCCACGAAGCTATATCGCTTGTACATGTTTGACCTCGCATCAGCTGAAAGTGCATAGCCTACTTTGCCTCGCCATGTGAACGGTCTGATAAACCATTTGTGTGCATCTGAAAGCCCTAGTTTGGTTTTGGCTAATTGATGAAACCTATTAGACTAACCCTATGCTCTAAATGTGTAATTGAGATAGGTTGGTCCAAGTCCAAGTAATGGAGCTAGATGGCACTCAAGTGATGGAGATGGTCAAAAGATGGTGAATCAAGTGCTCCAACTTGGAAAAGAAGAAAGAAAAAACAAAATGGGCTCAAGGCAAAGGTATAAAGCATAGGACCATTTTTGTTTTGCCGGTCAAGACATTATAGTGAGTGTAGTTGGGTTTAGGATAGATAGCCGTACTACGAAGAGGAGAAAATTATGGTAATCAAGTACCACTAGGTGAAATAAGATTCATGCATATGCATTAGGACCTAGTGTGCTAACTTGACCTAGGAAAAATGCTTTGGAAAAACGCTAACACACATGCACAAGTGTTGGGACACTTTGATGTTAGCATGTGGAAGCAAGGGTGGAAGAAAAGAGAAGAAATGAGGTGTTGTAGGGGCGTCGGACACAGGCTAGCAAGGCATCGGTTCAACGGCTAACCCTAGCTGTGCACTATTCCTAAGTCAGCTCCGGACTCAGGCGTCAGCCTCTCGGCTGTAGGTCCGGTGGGTGCTCAGCAGTGAAGGCTCAAGAGCTCCGGACTCTGGGGCATAGTCCGGCCAACTGCTCTACACGTGAGTCTAGCGATTTTTGAGCAGTTTTGGAGCTCTCGATGTGGATTTCACAAGGCGTCGGATCAGGGCACTTTGGTCCGGCTAGTTTGGCTGGACTCAGTCCGACACATTTTCCCTCTCGGGAAGCTTACTAGAAAGCTCTGGACCGTGGTGCGTGTTGGTCCCGCCAAGGCGCTGTGCGGGTCTGATGCTGGGTCCGACGAGCGCGATCAGTGACCGTTGGAGCGCGACAACGGTTGAATTTTTTAATGGGGACATGTGGTGGCTCATCACTGGGCGCAGGGGAGCATCGGACCGAGGGGTCTTGGTCCGGACCCCCGTAACTCTGGGTCCAGAGCTCGGTCTGGTGGCCAGTTCGAGGCCAACGGCTAGTGTAGTCTTGGGGGCTCTATTTAAGTGCTTTGGTCGGCCATGGCTCACTCTCTTGGACATTTTTTTTACATATGATACATCCCTCTTGAGCTGAACAAACCTCTTCCACTCATCTCCTTGCTCAATTGTGCATCCAAAGTGAGATTGAGTGATTCCAAGTGTATTTACTTGAGTGATTGCATCTAGTGGCACCTGGGGATCGTTGTTGCTGTGGTTTTCTTGTTACCCTTGGTGGTTGCCACCACCTAGATGGCTTGGAGCAGCGGAGGAGTGTTGGCACGAGTTAGTGATTTTTCGTGGCCACACACGGCATTATTGTGAGGGGTTCTTGTGCCTATTCCCTGGCGGAGTGCCAAAGGCAATTCTAGTAAATTGCTCATAACTTGTGTACCCTCATCTTGTGTTGGTTTCTTACGGCACCTTTGTGTAAGGCTAGGCTTGTGTATGCCTTTTAGCGCGTGAACTACCAAGTGAGTGCATTGTCACAACGAGGACGTAAGTTGCCGGCAAGCAGCCAAACCTCGGGTTAAATCATTGTGTCTCTATTGGTATTCTTGTATTGATTTGACTCTTGCCTGGTTCGGTCTATATCTCTATCACTCTTGTGTTACATTCTTGATATAGTTGTGTAGGGATAGTTGTAGTCTTGCTTAGTTAGTTGGGTAGTAAAGTAATTAGTTGAGTAGCAAGTTGTTTCTAGTTGTACCTTGTGCTAGCTAGCTCTCTAAGTTTAGTAGTGACATAGCTCTTGTGTGTGATATAGAGATCACAGTCATTAGCATATTGGTAGGTTTCTTGCCTTTTGACTAGAGCTAGAGCAAAAAGCATTTATGCCATTTATTTGTCTAACATTGCGCTCTAGTGTTTTGTTTTATTAGGCAATTCACCCCCCTCTAGCCATTTAGGACCCTTCAGCACCTCCATTGGATCTCATGAAGAACATCATTGAGTACTACATGCAAGTTCTTGAAGCAATAATAGGGTTGTTGCCATGCCACATCTCCTTGGCCCGTAACACCATCACCAGTATGTCCCCTCGTTGTTGCATCTTCACCACTGTCCCCTACGCATCGACGACCATGCTGCACAACCTCTTATTCTCTATCTATTTGCCCTCAATCTTCATTAATTTATTTGAGTTCTTCATTGTCGACATCAAGCGCTATCGCCACCGACATACCTTGCGTCCAAACCACTTGCCTTTGGGCTGGAATGTGTGCCCAGATTGCTCGCCTTTGGGTTGGAGCGTTCGCACCCACACTCCTTCTACTTCGTCTAGCACAACCTCGTCACCAACATCGCCATATCTTCCCTATCTATTCTGTCTACTCCTACAAACAAGGGATGCATTGGCACTTTCTAGCCCCGCCATTCTACGCAACGCCTCAGCCATCGTCGAGTCCCTCTCTGCTGGTCCCTTACACACCTGGTACATCCAACATTTGCAATATTGGTGCATGCCTTCGTCCTGGTGGCTTGACAACATCGACTTAATCATCAACACTCATGTTCCTGGCTCAATTGCATCGTCATTTTCATCTCTGTTCGCAATGGCCCTGGCCATGTTGACCTCGGCATTGCCCTTTTCCATGACAACTGCCTCTACGCGTCTCTATCACCATGGCGCCTCTTTTGCGCCCATGAATTCATGTACGACCGCATTGACCTCAGAGACCCAACCACGACTATCTTTAGCACTACATTCTCAACCTTGGCTACCTGCCCTCGCTCTCGGCTACGTCAACATCGGTGCAAAAAGGACTATTGCCTTGCTCGAGCAACCTCATCGGGTTCCATTCTAGCCACAACATCTGTCAGCCATCGGCCCTTATGATTGCGGGGAGATCGTCAACTCATTAGCTTACAAGCTTTAACATCTCTAGTCTCACCGTCTGCGCTGCTCCAACTACAAGGGGATGTTAGGTATATTGGGATATCTCCATATATGGTAGATTAGGATTGTGTACTCCCAACTTGCCTTATCTCTGTAGGAGGGTTTATTTCCCCAGAAGCAATGTACTTTTTATATAATCATCCCATGAGGCTCAACAATATAATTAACTATTCCACTAATTTTATACCTCATACACATCTATAAATTGTTTCCGTCTCTAGAAATCGGTTCCGTAGCCGTGGTTTTATGATGCACTGGGAATAACCTTAGAATTGTCTAGTGGATAGCATTCTCCTAGTTTGTTTTTTCTTGCGGGACGTTACATTCTCCCTCTGATGAGGAAAAGGAATTTTTGTTGTAATGTAGCACTGTTTTACTATGGGATCGGAATATGGATGATATTGCTAAAAGGAAAAAAAAAGAACAAATCCGAGCAATCTGCAGCAGATTAATTTGCTGGAGTAGTTTACAGCCACTAGTTGCTATATATACCACAGTAGTTGGTAATTACTTTGTGTCGCTTATCATATTTGTTTCGGCTAGCTATATGCTCCTATATCAGCAATTTGCAAAAAAAAAAAAAAAAAATCTCCTATATCGACTTCACCTCGTCATCCTTTTCTCCAATAGTCATAGTCAGATGCATATGTACTGTGCTCACAATTATCCTCGATGGTCAGACGATGGTGTGTGATCTACATTTCAAGTGGCTACTGTACATATACATGCGTACGGTGCTAATATTTGGTATGTACAGTCAGCGCAACAGTACTTATTTTTAATGACTGATGAGGACTAGCTAGCTATATATAATTGACTAGTCTACAGCATGTAGAGTAAAATTGAGGAGGGAAGAATCTGTTCCACAAACGGAAAGACAATCAAATGAAAGAAGGGCAGGAGGCCACGTCGGTAAGACGACGTTGATGCAGAATCTGGTGACTGGTGAGGATCGGCCGGATTCATCATGGAGATCTAAAGCTGCGCTCCTGCTGGTTAGTTCAAGCCCCAGCTCGCTAGCTACAGATATTGTTTGTCTATCTGTCACATTTCTCGGTAGCAAAAAGTTTTAATTCAATCTTTGTAATTATTAAGCAGCAGGCATGCATGAATTCATGATTAGGAAAACCCATGAGTGCATGCAATAGCACTCCGTGTTCAGGTTTAAGAGCTCAAAAACTTCAAGATTGTGTTCTAGTAGATGGATTTTGGTGATATAGGTGCTTTGATGGAACGAAGAAGCCAAAAAATGAATTCGGAAGATCGAAACTACGATGACACAGCAAGAACTCTAGCTCATCAGCTGCAAATAAACAAGCAGATTGGGGCATGCTTAAAATGGTGATCAACTACATTAATTACAGCCACCAGTACTAAAGAAGCATGATGAGTATTACTTCGTGGTGCGTATCACCATCACCATCGATCAAATTCATAGTCCGATCGAGCACGCAGTAAAGATTCAAATAGCTTGAGTTTGAAATCATGCATGTATGTACGCCGGTAATCATGGGATCGGAGTAGCAAATAAAAACAAAAGCACTCTCAGCTGCGGCGATTTATAGTACGTAACCGACGACGAAGTACGATCACGAGCAGCCGTTGTGCACTCGGAGCGGGCGCCCCGTGGAACCGTGCGAGACCGCCGTCCCCGGCCGGCGCGCGGTGGCGCACTCGGCGACGAGCGCGTCGCGGGCGGTGAGCAGGCCCGTGGTGGCGGCGAGCGGGCGGTCGAAGACGGCGCAGTCGACCCAGTCCTTGAGCAGCCGCTCCTGGCCCCACATCTCCGGGATCCGCACCCGCCCCGCCATTTCGGTGCGGTGCCGCTTCAGCCGCTCCCGCGCGCTCTCCTCCGCCCCCGCCGCCGCCGCCGCCGGCCGCCGCGCCACCAGCTCCCCGCCGCCGCCGCCGCTTCCCGCCGCCGCTGCTACTTCCTCCGCCGCCACGCTGCTCTTCTTCTCCGCCCCCGCCTCAGCGGGAACCACCGCTGGCGCCGCCGCCTGGTGGTCGGGCTCGGAAGACGACGTCCCTGCCGCCGGCGCCCGATCGTCGTCCGAAGCGGCGGCGTCGCAGCATGCAGCCGGCGGCGGCTGCAGCTCGTCCTCCGCGGGCAGCCGCTGCGTGCATGGCGCCTCCGAGTCGTTGGGCGGCGGCATGGCCATGCAATCGGGCCCTCCGATACAGACGCTGTGGTGCAACTGGCGGCAGGCTAGGCGAGAAGAGAGGAAGAGATCAGCTGGGGGGATCGGTAGTGGGTGGGAGACTTGGCGAGGGATCGGAGGTAGATGGGCGGGGTGCGCTGTCTGCTAGACATTAAAGAAGCTGGGCGAGCGGGCGGGGAACGCTCGCGCGGGGGGTCGCGATGTTATGGTGCGCGGGAGGAGAGCGTGTCCTCGCGGGGCGGTGTGTGGCTGCGCTTGCCTCGGCTACGTGGTGCGCGCGCGGTGGGGCGGGCGGGAGGGGGCTCAGGTGTGAATATGCATGGCTGCGCGTCGCGCTGCTTTCATTGGCCGGGGCGCGTCGTGCGTGTCAACGTGTGGGCTTCACTTGTGATGCTGGATCGCCCCAGCGAGCTGAGGGGCCTCAGGGCCTGGCTGGCCGCAGAAGGGCCAGTGGGTTGATGCGAGAGTGGGGCGGATTTTTTTTTTTGGAGGGGCCACTTGCGTACACCGGCCGCTCTCAGACGCCTGCCCCTTGCTGTTCAGATTGGCCCGGTTCGTTTCGCTGAAATTTGGCTTATGTTGATATTTATATTGATTTGTTGTAAAAAAATATTATTCGTTTCTTTGAAAAGATCATCTTGTTGAAATAGTCTTTGCAGAACAGGTTCTCACTGCTACTGCTAACACACACACACACCCCACACACCCCCCATCGCCTTGGCGCTCAAAGCTCACAAACCATCAGGGCCGCGTCGGTATAGTACGGCAGCATTGGTCCTCTTTGACAAGTCCGCCATCAAAGGATGCTACTTGCATCGAAACTACTAGAACATTTCGCGGAGTACATACATTGTCGTGCTTTATGTTTTCTTTTAAAAGAACAAAAAGTCATGAGCTAACCTCTAGCCACGGCAAAAGTTTGGGATCCTTAACATCCAACTCTACAATTAATTAGACACTCTACAACACATGTCACTATCGGAAACAGTAGATATACCGAGTGACTGGTGGTTTACCGAGTGCATTCCTTCGAGCACTCAGCAAACAATATATTTACCGAGTGCCTACAGATAAACACTCGGCAAAATAATTGCACATGGTAAAAAAACTTATTTGCCGAGTGCAGGAAATAAAACAATCGGCAAACAACAACAAGACACTCGGCAAAGAATAGACACTCGGCAAAAGACCGCCACGTGTGACGGCCGTCAACCAGGGTGCCGGCGGTTAGAACTTTGCCGAGTGTCCATTAGTGACACTCGGCACTCGGCAAATCGTTTCGTTTGCCTAGTGTTTTATTTTGGCACTCGGCAAATTAAAAAAGTTTTTTTTCACTTCTGGCCTTGAAACTTTTTCTACTCTCTACATACAACATGTGGTACTCCATGTTAAGATTTGGTATATTTCTGGATCCGTTTGCTATATTCAATTAATTTATTGCTTTTCAAAGAACTTTTTGGTATAAGTCAAATTTGAACTACAAGGATTCAAATAATAGAATAAAATGAGTAGAAAAATGATATTCATGTTATTGAGTCCGGTGTGAGGCCTTACCCAGGACATGAAAAGAAATTTCGAACATCTTGTTCAGGAAACACGACCACGAACGTGTGGCCGAATGAATTTTAAATTCTAAAAAAAGCAAACGAAGTCTGAAAATCATGAGATTTGTCAAGATCTCGTGATATCATACGTGGAGACCGTGGTAAAAATTAAGAAGGTTTCGGATAATCTATCACGTACAATGTTTTCAAACCAAAGTATCTCAGAAGAATAATCGTAGCGTTGAGAAGGATTCACTAAGATTTGGAGTCAAAGTGACGGTCGAATTGGGGTTTGACTTCAAAGCTTTTTATATAGGCAATAGAGAACATAGATTGATTCATATGTAATTTTGGTAAATTTTTAGATCCGTTTGATAATTTTAATTTATTAAGTGCAATTATAGAATTTTAATTGATATACATTGAATTTGAGTTACAACTGCATGAAATAATAAGTTTTTTTCACTTCTGGCCTTGAAACTTTTTCTACTCTCTACATACAACATGTGTTACTCCATATTAAGATTTGGTATATTTCTGGATCCGTTTGCTATATTCAATTAATTTATTGCTTTTCAAAGAACTTTTTGGTATAAGTCAAATTTGAACTGCAAGTGATTCAAATAATAGAATAAAATGAGTAGAAAAATGATATTCATGTTATTGAGTCCGGTGTGAGGCCTTACCCAGGACATGAAAAGAAATTTCGAGCATCTTATTCAGAAAACACGACCATGAACGTGTGGCCGAATGATTTTTAAATTCTAAAAAAAGCAAACGAAGTCTGAAAATCATGAGATTTGTCAAGATCTCATGATATCATACGTGGAGACCGTGGTAAAAAATTAAGAAGATTTCGGATAATCTGTCACGTACGATGTTTTCAAACCGAAGTATCTCAGAAAAACAATCGTAGCGTTGAGAAGGATTCGGTAAGATTTGGAGTCAAAGTGACGGTCGAATTAGGGTTTGACTTCAAAGCTTTTTATATAGGCAATAGAGAACATAGATTGATTCATGTGTAATTTTGGTAAATTTTTGGATCCGTTTGATAATTTTAATTTATTAAGTGCAATTATAGAATTTTAATTGATATACATTGAATTTGAGCTACAACTGCATGAAATAATAAGTTTTTTTCACTTCTGGCCTTGAAACTTTTTCTACTCTCTACATACAACATGTGGTACTCCATGTTAACATTTGGTATATTTCTGGATCCGTTTGCTATATTCAATTAATTTATTGCTTTTCAAGGAATTTTTTTTGTATAAGTCAAATTTGAACTGAAGTGATTCAAATAATAGAATAAAATGAGTAGAAAAATGATATTCATGTTATTGAATCCGGTGTGAGGCCTTACCCAGGACATGAAAAGAAATTTCGAACATCTTATTCAGTAAACACGACCACGAACGTGTGGCCGAATGGTTTTTAAATTCTAAAAAAAGCAAACGAAGTCTGAAAATCATGAGATTTGTCGAGTTCTCGTGATATCATACGTGCGAGGCCGTGGTAAAAAATTGAGAAGGTTTCCGATAATCTGTCGCGTACGATGTTTACAAACCAAAGTATCTCAGAAGAGGATTCTGGCGTGAATTAAGGGAACCTACCCCGCAGGAAACTTCAACCCTTCTTAGAGAGGGTGCAGGAAATAGAATGCCCGATTTTATTTCTTGATTCAAACAGAAGGTACTATCCAATTTGGCTCGTACTTAGTTTGGCATTACAAGTTGCTCGTACGTGCGACTAATATAACGAAGTACCCTGCTTGAACTTGTAGGGATAAACAGATGCATCTATGAGTGCCGAGTCGAGACAGGTTGCCGATGGTTGTGCCTATAGGGTCAGGTCATTTACCGGTTATGACGTGAATAGATATCGCTTTCACACTACAAGCCACGAGCAGAGTCGACCCAATCGAAGAACCACAAATACCAAAGTTTTGACGCAAGGCTTAGATGGGGTTGAGTATTACGGAAGAATTGAAGAAATATACGAACTCATGTTTCATGGTTGCAAACCTCTTAATCCCGTTATATTAAAATGCCATTGGTTTGATCCTGAAGTAGTGAGGCGGACCCCTATTCTTTGGCTAGTTAAAATTCGACAATCATCCGTCTTACCAGAAGACGATGTCTATATCATGGCTCAACAGGCCACGTAAGTTTATTATCTCTCATACCCGTGCCAAACTATAGATCATCTTAAGGGTTGGAATGTTGTGTACAAGGTATCGCCACACGGTAAACTACCTGTCCCAAACAATCAAGATTACAACATAGACCCAACACATATGATAGAGAGTTCTTTCAAAAAGATGGGCTCGAAGGGAGTTTTGAGATAGACTTAACCGAAGCTCAGGGTATGTAAGTAGACAATGAAAGTGGTGCTGACGAGGACGCCGGAGATGAGGTTCAGAATGTGAAGGACTTAGAATTACTTCAGCGATTACATCTAAGCAATGACGGTGATGACGACATTCCTCCTTCGGAGCACGGGGATGATTATATCAACATGCATGATAGTGATGATGAGACTTATGATCCAGCTAATCCCAATCATGATGATTATTTCTAATACATGTATGATCCATGCTAATTGATTTATTATTTGTCATACCATGTTATTTTCTAAGTATGTTTTATTTATTTTGCATATATTTTAATGTATTATCTGTGCTAATTGGTTTACTCTTTTTAATTGTAGGTGATTGAACAATGGTGGGCGGTACAAAGAGGATAGCGTCGCTTTACTCAAAAGCGACAACGACGCGTAAAGGGTCCGATGCAGCTGAGGGATCCAAGAAGAGACCTCAGGGTAGACCCAGGGGTCGAGGGAAGGGTGGAGGCTAGACGAGGACACCGTTGCCTGTACCTTCATCGCCGTCTGAGTTACCTTCCGCTCACTCATCCTCTGAGGAGGAGGAGGTACAGGTGGAGGAGGAGGAGGCAGGGGTGGAGGAGGAGGAGGAGACAGGGGGTACCTCTTCCTCAAATTCATCGCGTGTGTGGTTGCAAGGTCCCTCGACCCTCCTGAGGCGACCGATACCTCTTGAGAGACACCCGCTTATTCGACCCGATGGAGACAAGTAAGTAACTTTATATGTTATCACTAATTTTTCGTTTGATATGTTCAAAATTACAATAGAAACTAATAATTTATCTAATCACTTGGGTAGGGTTGGAGGAAGGTCGGTGGGGGTGATCACACACGCCATGTGAACGGCATCCTTGGTCTTTTGATCAAGGAAAAGTTCCCTGGCCTGGTGCAGTTCAGCGGAACTATCGAGCCGGCCTACACGTGGGCCCACTATGCCACCGTCCTCGACACCCCTGATTGGGATGGCAGGGTATTCATCGACAAGGCGTAGCGTGTCAAGGCCGAGCTTTGGGTAAGTCTTTCTTGCACTACATTGCTCAATACATCGCATTGATTGGACATTCTTGAAATAAT